AAGACCAAGTCAAGAAGACCGGAGACGGGGGAGGCCGCAGGTGGATGGCTCGGACGGATCCTCGCCTTGGCGCTCCACTCCGCACCCCCTGTCCACACACAAATGACCAGGATTTTGACCACAAGACAATGTAGTGGTGGCAGTGGTCCAGTTGTGCGACGAGTGCCGACAACAGGGTCCGCCAGCGCACCCCGCAAATGTTGGCATTCGTTATAGCGCCAAGATAACGCCTGCCAGAATCCAATGTGACCCCCGTGTTGGTCCAGCGCATCTAACACGTGGTCCGTTTTGAGGGCAAACACACACACACACACACACACACACACACGACCAGCCAAAGGTGCCCGTCTCACGCGAAAGGTGATAATAGGGATTTAATGGGCGGGGCCTATGTATGCGTAGAGGAATGATGGAATAAGTATAGATGATTGGTAAATACATTTTTCGCGTGGAAAGTTTTTATTGCATTGACATATAGCAACCGATATTAAGTGGGACAATTAAAAAAATAAACGTTAAGTGTCTACAACGGTCGTCTCTCAACTCTCCGAGATAAAGTCATTGTAGATAATGCATCAGACCGTCTACAACAGACGACTCATCCTTGGACGATGTAACGCCAAACCAAAATAATCGTGTCGGACCAAAACCCACCTAAATAAGTATAGTATACATCCCTTGTATGCCACAGATGTCTGGGGTTCTTCTCCTGATCCTTACCAGATTAAAGGGTTTGGGTTAGGGGTTGACGTTGGGGGTTAGAGGTTTCGGTCAGGGGTTGGGGTCAGGAGTTAATGTTAGGGGTCGGCGTTAAGGGTTAAGGCTAGGAGTGAAGGATTGTGGTTAGGAGTAGGGGTTGCGGTCAGGGGTTGGGGTTTAGGAGTCGGGGTTAGGCGTTGGGGTTAGTGGCTGAGGTTAAGGGTTGGGGTTAGGGACTGGGGCTCCTCAACTGCAGTTACGGGTACGAACTGAGATCCAACCGGTATATATGATTTGTTAATCCAGCCCGGACTCCAACAGGCGGGCATTTTCGAGCTCGAGGTTGAAGATTCGAGCTTGAGCCGAACCCGTTACGCGTTCGATTGCCTATGTGACAACACTCCCCGTCCTCTGATCTGTCAACATCCCCAGCGACTTTGTTGCTATGCAACCAGATATTTTGCAGTTGAACACTTGGGGCCCCCGTCATAGCAGTTTTTCGATAAAGGCCAAATTTGGTCACACTGCCTATGAAGGATTAAGGTTATTTCTGATTTTTTATTACCATCAACAATGCCTTTTAGCACTGATCGGAAGCGACCATGATTGTAAGATATGACAGTCGATACAACGAAGGCCAAACTGACACAAAGGTAGAATATCCGAAAATCTTTCACACCAGTCTGTACTTAGTCTAAGGGGGCGTAATGTCGACGATCTTTGCGATGACGCCAAGTAAGTCAAAGTTGCCGTAGGTGCAACCTTCTGTCTCGTCTATCTTCTGGAGGAGAGGAGACGGAACGACACTGATCTAGTTCTACGGGAAATAAACAACATGCTCGAATAACATCGGGAAACGTTCTGAAACAACATCGGATCAATGATAGGGACGGAAGTGTGAAGTCCCCATATACCAGGTGATCTCGCGCTAAATTCCATGGTGGATAGGGTTAAGATGAGTGTTGCATTTAGGGTAGGATTATAGAGTGGCACTAAGGTTATGAAGGCCAGTGTTGGGGTTGAATTTAGGACGAGGGGATAGATAGCCTTCCCCTCAAGAATTTAGAGCAAAACCACCGGAAGTATGGATGTTGTTCCGTTTCTTGTGTACAACCAGATCATCTTTATTAGAATTCATCTAGCAGCCCGTCTCCAACCACAGTTTTGCTTGAATTTCGGCAACAGATGGTAGTGTATAGTCTCGGGCGCCTTGCGGAAAAAAATGGAGTGAAGTCCACGTCTCGCCTACCCAAGAAATGGCTGGTTGAGAACCTCAGAAAGTGCTCCAGTGGCGTAACAGGGACACCAGCCTTTGCCGCTAAAGTTGCACTTGCTACCAAGTTGTTCTGTAACGAATGCCGAAGAAATTGGCAGCACCTTCTTGACTTGCCGACAACGGAAGCTAGTTTGAATTCAGATGCCATGCACTGCCAGCATCGGTCTGGTGTCGGCTTTCACCGGTAGTTTCAGAGTTCTTTAGTCTCCTCATAATCTGATCGCTGGCTTGAAGTAAATCCGTTAGAATGAATCTCACTAGACCCAGCCCGAAAGTCGATATCAATATTTGGGCCGAAATCTATCAGCTAAAGCAGGATATCGGCGTGATGTTCACAAAATGCCAATAGGCAATCCGTAATAAACTCATATTGCATGACTGAACATACTCATGCAGAAATCGTAAGCTGTTGGCTGTCTGTTGGCAGTTTATGAATATTACGTCGTCATCCCGCTGTAGCTGGTGGATTTCAGCTCAAATATTCACATCAACTTTAGGACTAAGTCTATAAAGCTGCGCTTCGACTGATTTACTCCAAGTTGGCGATACATTACCGAGGAGATTAAAAAGTTCAAATTCAAAAACTGGACTATATGTCAGAAGGCACACGGGGCACGCTGAGTGGTCCATTGATGATCCTCACCAATCACGTTGCCTGACGACGCAACACACAGAAGTTCTGACTTCTTACTAGTTGGGACATCTTCTAGTTGCCTACTAGTGACTAATATGCCGCAATTGGACGTGCTCCTATCGTGGCCTAAATTCTCACTCAGAGCCTGGCAATGACGTTCCCGACTACGTTCATTCGAACAGCATGGCTGGGAACTATCACTTTCTGATGACATTCTAGGAAAAATTACTCACTGTTTTGCAAGATCAGGTTTTCTGGAAAGGGCTTGGGATGCAAACGCAGTCGTGTCTTTATGGGAATGCTGTGTCCCTCTCGACTACACGCATTGAGCACAAGTCCAAGACAGCTTTAGCCAAGCGTTTGCCCACAAGACTTTAGTCGCTACATGCAGTGGTACTGTCGTCACTTAACCGCTGAATCGACGGGGTTTTTTCTCGGTAATGGGACAGGGTGCTGAAAACGTGGTCGCGGAGGCTGATGGTAAGCTGGTAGCTGTCCACTCTCACTGTCGCCAGTGCCGTCACTTACCCATATTGTGACGACGTTGCGCCAATCGATATTTCTGTCTTCGCCGATTGGCTGCAGCCGGACGAAGGTCGGGCGCATGCATTTCGTCTGGCACCACCTGCCTGGTGACAATGTTAGTTGCAACTGCTTGCAGAGCTGCTTGTATGCTCCCGGCCCACCTGCCTGTCTCCCTTGTCTCCTTGGGAGCCTTAAAGCTGTCGACCGTCGTACTTCGATAAATGATGGCTCATTCTGAACTCCAGACTTCACCCTCCTATTCTGTATAATAGTCAGATGTTAACTATGAATGTGTTTCAACAAGGAATGCACCATATCTTCGTACCCGCTTCTGGCTTCCTTTCGGCCACCCAACTCTCCCTGACGGCCGAACAACTGATGGGGCTGCATGCGTTCGTCATGCCCTCTAGTTACCCACTTTTACATCTATCAGATTCTACTGTTCTCAACACGTAAGGTCACAGACGGCAAACCTCCGCAATATTTAGCTTCCTTTAGGAAACTGTTGGGAGTGCCTACACTCCCAAAAACAAGAGCCAGCCAATCACGGATGCCACGTGCGTTTTCTCTACTGCGCTGTCATCTTAATCGTGGCGCCTCTCCATTGGCTTTTCCTCGCGGGTCTGATCGATCACCATATTCGAATTATCGACCGGCTCGTCTGGAATGTTCTTCCCGAAGGGTATTGAGCCGAATGACGGCGAAGCACCGTAAGGCGTTATAAATACGCGTTACTTCCAGTTCATTTTGACTTGCATTTTCCTAATACACAGTTTCGTGGCCGGTCGCGTTCTCCTTCTCTGCCGCGTTGGTATTGGGGACAAGGGTCGAGTGCGCATACGCTCCACAGGATTTCACGTACAAGGCGGGTCATAACAGAAACAGACAGCCTTACTTTCATCCTGGGACGCATCGAGAACATCCACCCGGAAAATTCAACACGCTTCTTCTTCCGACTCAACGCGGTTACCACTTGCTGCAATCATACCATATTTGTTGACAAAAGCGGTCTCTGCAACGCTTCATGCTCCTTCATCTCGAAGCAGAGCTCACAGAGGAAGCAGGTCTGCCCGAAAATCAGGACAACTAATCTTCCTGACTCCGTGGGCTCTATTCGCGCTTTCAAGGTCTTCGACAGTCTGACTCTCAGACGCTTCCTCGTGAACATCGGAGACAAGGTCAGCCTGGTTCCTCCCACACCAACCGACCGCCGCAGCCCCAGCCCTGGTCTTCAACTCGAAGCCGCCAGCTATTCCCCCATTTCCACGTTTGGCAACCAGTTCCTCCCCCTCGGCCTTCTTCGGCTATCCTCATGCATATTCCTAATTGTCAATGTTCCTCATGCGATGCTCGACCCTGACTTTCTAGTTCTGTTTGCCCTACTAGTGAACTACCGACGTCACCGATTGCTCGAACACATGACTGGTCTCTGTGATCGTGGGTTGGCTCCCTTCACAACCACCTGCAACTTATCTGTCCTGAATACAAACGCAGCTTACCCATATCGAGAGCTCCTCCCCTAACATTCGAATAGCAGCAACCAGCAGTTCCGCAGTTCCGAGGTCCAACGCTATGCCGTGCACCACATCCGAGCCTCATGCCCTCCTGTGTTCGCTCGGTCTAGATGACTGACACCGGTCCGTGTCTAGACTGCAAAAGCGAATTTTGAACACATGCTTCAACTGGGCATCATTTCACCGTCTGAGATCCCCAGGACGTCCTCGCAGCATACAGCGCCCAAGGGAACATCAGGCGACTGGCGAGGCTGTAGCGACTGTCGTGCTCTCAACAACGTCACCATTTCTGGTCATTACCCAGAATTTCGCCGGAGCCCTTATCGGCAAAGCGGTTTTCCTGAAGATCGACCAGATGCGTGCCTTGCCCCGGATACCTGTCGTCCGAAGGGTATCTCCAAGACTGCTGTCATCACTCCATTTTGCCTCTTCGAATTCATCTAGACGCTCTTCAGCCTTCACAATGTCGCCCGGACGTTCCAGAGGTTCGCCGACCACCCTTAGCGTTTGTGTACGCCTACATGGATGACCTCTTGGTGACCATTGGGAATGCTGAAAAACACAAAGAACACCTCGCTTTGGAGTTTGGCCATCCCGACAAGTGCGATGTCATCATCGACCCATCCAGGGGCGGTTTTGTTGTACCATCTCTTTGCTTCCTTGGCCATCATGTTGACTCTGAATGTTTGCGTCCTCTATCCTCCAAGGTTGAGGCGATTCGTGATTGCTCCCACTAGTCTGAGAGCGTCAA